ATGTAAAACCGAGGTCCTGACTCTCTGTGGTCATTAAAAATCCCAGGGCATTTCTCAAAAAGAGTAGGGGTGTTACCCTGGCGTCCTGGCCAAATTTCCCATTGGCCCTTACCAATCATGGCCTCTTAATAATCCCCATCTATGAATTGGCTTTATTACTCTATTCTCCTCTCCACTAATAGCTGATGTGTGGTGAGCGTTCTGGCGCACTATGGCTGCAGTTACATCACCCAGGTGGGGCTGCAGATTGGTGGTGGAGGGGAGTCCCCGTTATTTGTAAAGCGCTTTGAGTGGAGCATCCAGAAAAGTGCTATATAAGTGTAAGCAATTATTATTATTATAAAATAGAGCAAGCTGAGGCTAACCTAGTAAATTCACTTAGTCCTTCAAGTATCTGATTTGATTTTCCAGTAAAGCTCAAGGAAGTCCTGGTCATACGTGGCAGACGACACAGACCTGGTGGAAACTGGAAACATCTTGAACACTGGATCAGACCTTAAACTCTAATCAGAAGCTCTTTTTGTTCCAGATACAATATTCAGTATCTTATCCTTCCATTCTGAAACCAGGGCGATGGCACGTACAAGAAACACAGAGATTCCTGCAGGTGAGATGCTCTTATTTTCTGTTTCTTTTCCACAATCAGTGGCCTGATAGCCTTTACATATTGCAGCAGGTGTTGGAGTTACAGTAGGTATTCAGTGATGTGGAGGGAAATGAGGATGACCGTGCTCCAGGTAAAGGGGGCTTAGTGTAGGTGTGGTTGTTTAGGGGAAGGTCTTCAGATAATCCTGAGCAATCCTTCACCAAGCCTCTCTCATTCAAGACAAGACTCCTTAGCAGTGGCTCCCACTCTTGTCTGTCCAGCAGGGTCAATACTAGCCAATAAAGACAGAATCTAGACTGGTACAAGGTGTGACCTAATATCCTTACAAAATGTAAATCCACCCACTGCCAGGCCCAAACAATCCTAAATTAAAAGTATATTCTTCTGGATTCTGATTGCTCAACCTGTCCCTGAATCCTGAGATCTACATGTTGGCTCAGTGGTTCCTATTCCTGGTCTCCTGCACTGAAGTCTTCACACCTGGATCAGCTACTGATCAATTCTGCTGCTTTGAAGACTGGAGTTTCTAGGTTACCTAGAATCCTAAGGGCCCTGTAATGATGTTCTGTGGAACAAGAAAGAATGCCAGTGAGGCTACAGTGCTATTAAAGCTATTCTGAACAGTATTTTTAGAATATTGGGACTCCCCTGTTTCTTTCCCAGTCCAGGAGTGAAGAAATGCATTTGGTGATGTGATGTGGGTATAATGTAAGGTTTTTAAAATAATTTGCTGTTTTTTTATTTCCATTGACCAACTGGGACAAACATGATAATTCACCGAAGAAGCTTAAGTAACTTTCACTTTCCAAACCAACAATCCACAAAATTCCAGAACCCCACAGTTGTTTTGCTGGAATTTGTTTAGAAATCAACCTACAAGAGAAGAAGCCACTATCAGGGTTCACAGATGCCTGGTCTTCTCCAAACACCCCATTAATATTGTGTTTTCTCTGGGACAGATCTGTACTTCATAATTTGCAGGCCCTAACCTGTTCCCAAATCTTTCTGGGTTTTTTTTACCACTTAAAGGCTAATTTATTTGAGAATAGGTCTGCTGTATCTAATATAACTGTAACTTAAACTCAATCTCCCTAGTAATACTGTATTTCCCTTGCAAATAATATTTTGTTCTGCTTACCCTAAACAATTGCAATCTTTTTAGCCACCTCAGCTACCTCCTCAGTACATGCCCAATAGCTCTCTGGTAATGTGTAACATGTTGGAAACAGCGAGAGTGACAGTAGTCAAGCAATGAAGTCAGCAGTAAGAGATAGAAGACACTCTAATGCAACTCCATAGGGAATTAATGCATTTGCTGCTTCTTATAACCAAATTTCTAAACATAAGTAATGAACTGACAGATTTAATTTAAATTGTGATAATTTGCAATTGCTTGCACATTTCAAAATTACATTATTAGCTTTGAAATTGTCAGGCCTATGCGTAGGTAGGCAGAACACTGACATTTCTTTTTTAACTAGTCACTTTTTAGCTCTCCAGGAAAGTACACAAAATGTGACCTTTTCTGTTTCCATTCTAAAATTGTAGCTTTTTGTCCTGGACGGTGGGTCTCATTCACAGGTGAACAGTGTAATTGTAAAAGGTGCAGTACCCTGCTTTGCCTGCTAGACCTCCATGAAAACCTCTACTGTGACAAAGACTGCAAACCCATTCTCAACTCTCTGAAGATCATTTTTAAAGGTACAATAAGCCATTCGTACATGTGAAATACTGCAACTTCAGAATATAAGGAGGATTACAAATCGAAGGGAGTCTTTTCCTCCATCTGACTCTTACAGTATGCTTGGCTCTTACCTCTTGTTTCATCTTGATTTCTCTGCCTCCCAGATGAAAAGGTGGTATACGAGTTGATCTCGCAGTTGTACGATACATGGGACACTGACGAAAAGGATGTCCAGGAGATGAAGATTTCAGCTCTTTCAGATATTATCCTTCAACTTTTCCAAGGTAATTCGATCTCACTGGAAATACAGATTCCAGTTTCTGTAACACTGTCAGAGTTCTGAATCACAAAATGTTTTTTAGAAGGTACAGTGCTGAGTAAACGCATGTAAATTCCTTAACCCTCTATGAGAGTAATTATTTGAATGTGTTTTTTTTTTCTTTAAAGTGCACTTTTGCTTCTGTCATTTCTAAATGACACAAGCAAACCCATAGAGGGTATTTTCATGTATTTCACGTATTTGAAAGCGCTTAGTGTTATTAGGTCTCTGAATCTAAGTAACAGATAAAGTTAACCTGATGAAACAAATGATGCAAAATAAGATATTCTTTCTTATTTCTCAAACTACAGTATGTAACATTCAATACCCAATAAAGGATGTGAACCTTTAGATTCAGTAACTGGTGGCACCCTCTTGAGCAGCAATGACTGTGTCTATTTTTTTCCTGTAAATGTAGTTCAGTCTCTCACATCAGAATTTGTCCCATTCCTCCTTACCGAACTCCTTTAATTCTGTTACATTTGAGGGTTGCCTTGCATAGACAGATAATTTCAGATTCTGACACAAAGTGGAATTTCTTCTTCTGCAGAAACTAATATTTCTCTTTAAGGCCAAAATGTTCTATCTTTGACTCGTTTGTCTGGAGAACATTGTTTCAGATGCCTTGGGTCTATATAATCTTTGATGAACTTGGACAACAGTGTTCTTTTTGGAGAGCTGGTGGTTTTCTCCAGCTGTAAATGGCCTGCAGTTTCTTTGTTGTTACTCTGGGGTTCTTTGTGACTTCCTTGTTGATTTTCTGGTTTGTTCTTGAAGAGATTTGAAAGGATGGGTAGGGTGATGATGGTCTTAAGATAAGATCACTTTATTGGCCATATACAATTTCTTGTATTAGAAATTTGTCATTTCACATACCCCAGCTTGCTCTCCATGAGACACACAGACAGGGAGAGAAGCTTCGGGTCAGAGTGCAGGGTCAGTCATTTATACGGTGCCCCTGAAGCAGTTGGGGTTAAGGGCTTTGCTCAGGGTTCCAACGGAGTAGGCCAAGGGGATATGAACCAGAAACCTTCCAGCCACTGGCACAGATTGTTAGCCAAAGAGCCACCGCACCGCCTTTGGTCTTTCTCCATTTATAGAGTATCTGCATGACATTGGATGAGTGGAGACGCAAATCCTTTGAAATGGTTTTATAACTCTTTTCCAGGCCGATGAGCATCAACAACTCTTTTTGTGAGGTTCTCAGAGATTTGCTTAGATTGGTGTATGGTGAAGACCAAACTCATAACTTTTCTGAATTTTACTTAAGTTGGAATCTTCGAGACTCAGTCCCCAAGATCGAATTATATACTGTAGGTCTGTATACAGGCACCTGATTCTATAATTCTCTTAATTCAGCTACTGAAAATAGGAGTTCACTTACTTTTTCACATCCCCTGTACTTTATGTATTCATTGTTTGCTCAAGTCATACATCATTCTGTTTCAAAAGGCACAGAACTGGTTAATATAATCCATATTGGATATTTTAAGACTGTGGGGGATTTCAATTCAAGAAGGCTATTATGGCAATTTTACATATTCATCTTTGGGGTTCACAAACGTTTTCTCAGCACTGTAAATCATTGTATAACCCTTTCACACCTGTATTTCACATCTATATTCTGAGTTGGTGTTAGTGGAGATCACATGAAACTAGTCTCCCACAGAGAAATCAGGTTGAGTTTTTGTTATTCATCATAAAATAGAATATGTCATGTACAATACTTTGCCACATTGAGCACATAAGTCCCAAAAAACACACAAATGTGCAAAAGAGATTAAAAAAACATTCTCTTCCATTTCCTTATACATCAGATATATATAGTTTTACCCCTCTTATGATTTCAGATAAAACTAAGAGAAGAGACATTAAGAGAAACAAGTTCTTATTTCATTATTTTAATATTTCCTATTGCAGACAGTTGGATCACCCAGGAGAAACAAATCTTATGACCTTTGAAAATCTCCATGGAGCTACCAAAAGACACTTTAACATATGAAGAATTGAACCTCAACAGCTAAAATACAATTATCTATACAGATAGATATTTTGCACACAGCTGACATTCAGAAATCAGAAAACAAGTCATGAATAATCCCAACTGCATTTCTTTACATTAAACATGTTTGCCCATGAGTTTAATTTACATACAGTATTTTGACATTTCATTTATTTCTTCTAAAGCATTTGCTAACCCTCTTATTTTAATAACTTAACCACTTTGATAAATATGCTGGTATCTATATCATTGAAAGGAATTAGGAAGAATAGTGGTCCTAGTACAGATTCAGCAATTTGGTTCCACTTGTGTCCCCTGGTCACTGTTGATTCTGAAGAAATCCAATGAGTTGACTTTGCCCTTTAAAAATTCTGAACACTTGATCCAAGTTCCCTTTAAATTCTCATGTGCTCAAGACTAAAGAGGTCCACATTCTTCAGCCCGCCTGTACAGGTCATTCCTTTAAGGTCTGGACCTGCATCTGGTTACTCTTCTCTGGACTGTTTCCATCACATAATGTGTTCCACTCTCCCTGCTCCAGGAAATCAATAATTCAGTCTCACATGGACACATATGCAGCAACATGTTTAGTCACTTTGTTAAAATGCCACGTTTATGCATATACAGTATACAGGTAAATACAGTACATATACTATGTATATACAGTTGGTTCCAAATTTCAATAATTAAAATGCCATTATTTAGGATTTTTTGTGTTTTTGTTATCAATTATTGAATGTAATATTTTTCAGGTTTTCATTTCAGCAGTGTATACTTTTTGCTGTACATTTTGCTGTTAAAAACAACTTTCAGTTCGCAATCATATGTTTGTATGAAAAGTAGCACAGCAGTTAATTTTTTGTTTTCAAAAAGTTAGATTTTGAAATTACACTGATATTTCCCTTTGGTGTTTCCAGAGGTCTGTTGCAGAAAGTCCATTTTCAGAATCAAAATCAACATATTTTTTCTGCTTTTTTCAAGAAACTGCTGATACACATTTGGAGGGAATAACTCTGCAATGTAAGTCATTCCACAGAGAGTTTATCATGTATACACTCCCAAATGGACTGGAGTATTTCGGTTTAGCTTGCATCGGTAAAGTTTGAGGTGCAGGACATTCTGGCTGAGAAAGAGGCTCTGATGATGTTTATTTGACAAAATGGCCGTGTGTCTCAAAGAGTTTTCATACAGAAACAGTTTCAACATGTCTATCATGCAATGAGGAAACACAGTTAAGACAGGAAAGGTGTTGTATGAGTTAATTTCAAGGTCAATTTTCAGCGAGGCAGTCATATACTTTATTAGCTGCAATGCCAATTGCCCTTATAGGTTATTATTATTATTGCTTACACTTATATAGCACTTTTCTGGACGCTCCACTCAAAGTGCTTTACAGGTAATGGGGATCCCCTCCACCACCACCAATGTGCAGCCCCACCTGGATGATGCAACGGCAGCCATAGTGTGCCAGAATGCTCACCGCACACCAGCTATCAGTGGGGAGGAGACCAGAGTAATGAAGCCAATTTAAGATGGGGATTATTAGGAGGCCATGATTGGTAAGGGCAAATGGGAAATTTGTGTGAAGTCTGCATTTTACTCACAGAGATATGGCTGCAGGTTAGAGGTCATTATTGGTTGCACCTACATGTAACAGGAAACCAGGGCTTTAATGCCAAAACCAGACATTAAGAAGATAAAAAGACCAAGAGATTAAGAATTCCTTTGGGAAAAGTAATTGGTAACCACAACAATATTGAGTACTGGATTAAGGCACTCACATATTTTTTCTCTTCTTCCAGCTAATCCTGAATCTATGGTGCTCCCATCCTTCAATTTCAATGCACATGCTAAACTATTACAGGCCTCTTTTTCCTGGACCTGGGGATCCAGGTACAACTTCCTGTACAAGCACCCCAACACAGGTGAGAGTCCAGTACAGTGCAGCTGCACAGACGATGCAATACCTGTAAGAGTCCAATATAAAGTAGATGTTAACTTGTTGGCCTCCTAAGGCTCTGTACCTTTAATAGTGTTCACTCAGTCCCCTTTGATCCAGTGATTCAGGATTAGAGAAGCGGTGACAGCAGGACACAACTGGCCAATTCAATTCAAGGGGCCCATGAAGTTGGCTAGACTAGTTGGTTTAGGTTTCCATTGGGTTTCCGTTTGTCTTTGGCTCAACAGCTATTTAAGACCTACAAGGCACCTCACAGAGAAACTCTTCTCCTCCCATCAGCTCAAACTCTCCTGTAAGGCACTGTGGAAAACTAGTAAAATTAGTGAATGGCCCCAAGGGATGGACATGTTAGAGGAGCTTATCCATTGATCTTTTTTCAACCCATTGGAGAGGAGCTGATGGCTGAAACCCTGAGCTGAATAATATACATATTTAACACCCCATAATATGATACAGTATTATGATTATTATTGTGGAATATGAAAATGTAGTATGACGGTGCATTTATCCAGGACTGTCATTCAGTTACTATAAAATTTAGCAGGGAAATGTTGTTCATCATAGGGTGGTAAAGTAAGAGAACTCAACACAAATAAAATAACAGACCAACTTGCAACATTATACCGAATAGTGTTAAACTGTTTTTTTTAATAAATTGCCTTTATAGCAACCTTTTCTGTTTTTCAAAGTGTGAGATCCTTCACTCTGTATCTGTTTTTTTTGTCTGTGTGGTTTTGAATTGAATAACGTCTTGTGTCATTATAACAGAGCATGTGATTCCTTCTTGCCATCTCCTGAAAACTTTCTTCTTTACACATTCCCCAGATAACGGCCTCCCCAGTGAATTGCTCAGTGAGGACACAATCTACCTCCTAGATGCTGGTCTGTCCATCAACAGCGCCTACCCACTGGTCCTGAGAAGAGACAGGGGAGTGCAGCTCATTTTGTCCTTTGATTTCAGCGCTAGAGACCCATTCTTGGTAAAGTACATAAAACTACGGTGAAGTCTAGCCAGTGCATTGCATGATATTAGCATGTATTTAAATTGTGCACTATTACCTGCATATGCAAGCATTTGGTTGGTGTTATAGTAACTTCCTTCAAAGGGGATCACACACCCATGGGTCAGGCTCAGACTGCTTAGTAGGAGCTCCTGTGGTCTACAGAGTTATTCCCTCAGTGAAGTGGGCCAATGCCAGATCTGTATGTCACATTGCTTTAAACAGGAATAAAATAAAAAAAAAACTGGGATACTGAAGTACCTATTGCTAAACTGTGCTGCCCACATGAATGGCGAGGGCGGGCAAGGAGGAGATACGGGCCCTAGAGCAAGAGCGTCACAATTCCATGTAGGGGTAGTAGCCAGCATTCTCCAGAAGGGACTCTGAGTTGCTGGAAGGAGTGCAGGGAGGAGATTCAGGGACAAGACTGGGTTGGGTGCACCAGGAATAGGCTGAACTGGGCAAGCGATATCAGGACTGTGCTAAGAGCATGCTATCAAGGAGGACTGAAGAAAGTGTGCCTGGGACTGGGCTAATCTGTGTGCACACTGAAGATTAGAATCAGTGCAAAGTTCCAAAGGCAGGTTAGGACAAAGACAGATGGAGGGGCTGGCAGGCTGAGGCAGAGACCAAAAGGTAGTGTCCATGTGGTAAGCGGGTTGGTGGGTTGGTGGGTAAAAGGGCTAAAATGCAGGCAGAAAACAGGGCTGAAGGAATGAAGAATCACCAGGACCATAGGATGTTCTGTAATCCTGCTTGCAGGGCTGAATATCTCAGCTATCGGGCCCACAGACAACAACAGCATCACACCAGGACTGTGGGTCTGATGCAACACCAGGGGAACTGAAGTGTGTGTCAGGGGACAGAAGTGTAAATTGCGGGCAGCCGCCAAACCAAACCCACAGAGAAATGTGGAGCCGCCACCATCTTGAGACATGACAACACTTCTACATTCAGCAGGCAGGATCAGATCAGGGGAGCACAACATCAGACAGTACAATCCAGGCAGGTCAGGAAGCAGGCAAGCAAAGCGGGAAATCCAGACAGGCAGGGGAGCAGTATCAAACAGGCTACATGAGGGATTCAGGCAGAAAAGGAACAGGAAGAAAGCAAGAAGAACTCTGCTGAGAACTATGGTGGTTTGTAAGTGACACAGTCCCGAATTTCTGAGCAGAAACTAAGCAGGACTTACATAACCAGACCACCAGATGCAATATGACTTCTAGGTGAAACACGCCCTGTGAAAATAACACCCATCTTTTAAGTTTTTGCCAGATACACATTTAAACATCAATCTCTGATAAACATGAGTATATATCATATATATTTGTATATTTGTTAATGCAGTACATACTGTACAGTACATTCCTTATGGTAACTTAGCATTGGGTCTTTGCATTCATATTATTTCAGGAGCATTTCCACTATTTGCCAGGATAATGAGTGAGAAATTGTTTTTTTTTTCATTTTTATTAGCATGTAATGATAAAAACAGATACTGTAGAGTGATAGGTTGAGGACAATGAGGGTGGACTTTAATTTTTTTCTGTTCTCTTCACCTTTCCACTCCCATCTCAGACTGTCACTGAGACAGCTGAGTACTGTGAGAAGAACAATATTCCCTTCCCACCCATCCCACCAGTGAGTAAGGAGGAGAAGAATTGTCCCTCAAGCTGCTACATCTTCCAGGGTGAAAACACCCCCACTGTTATGCACTTCCCTCTCTTCAACAAGAACAACTGTGGAGGCAAGTGAACCACAGCCAGCAGGCATTTTAGATTTTAGCTACAGGATTCATGTCACCTTTGGTTGGTGAAGAATGCAAGGCACTGACAAGGTGGTACTGTGGGTTTACATATGGTTCATTTAGACTACTCAAGATGGGCACTGAGAGCTACCAAAGAAAAGTAGCTTGAGTCTGGAGTCCGACTGCACTCGCTTAGATGTTTTGGGAATTACATGATGTAAGGAACCGGCAATGCTGTCCAAATTTCTGTGAAATGACTGAAGAACTCTTAGATACTGACACTCAGAGCCTTTGCAAGATCATTGGATCAGGAGTCAATCTCAGCAGACTCTCAGCCAGTCTCCACCTCATCTCATTTTCTCATTTCATTTTCTAACTGAGGGTTGTGGTGGTGACAGGCTGAGCAGGGCAGACCAGACTTCCCTTTCCCCGGCAACAGTCTCCAGGTCCTCCTGGTGCTCCCAGGACCTCTGAGAGATATAATCTCACCTGTGTATCTGAGGTCTGCCCTGGAGTCTCATCCCAATGAACCATGCTTGGTATGTCTCCAGCAGGAGGTACTCTGGGGACAACATCCTCACTAGATACTACTCACCCTGTAACAGAGAGTAAGTCCAACAGCCCTACAGAGAAACCTCATTTCTGCTGCTTGTAACCATGATGTTATTCTTCTGGTCACTTCCAATATACTGTATTCCCAAAGATCATCCACAGATGAAGACATGGCCAGATTGACTGAAAAACTGACAGGTTTCTGCAAAACCTTGGCTTCCTTTTGCCACTGCATTATTGCAGCCACTTAACTTGTGAGCCACTCACAATCTCCTCTTCCCTCACCTGTGACCAGCAGAGGAGGCAACAACATCTATAAACAGCAGAGATACAAACCGCAGCTCCACAAACTTCCAAACTTTCAATCCCGTCTCCAGCTGTTTCAGTAATCCTCACAATCACCAGCCCTCCTGTCCATTCCTTCAGTAGATAGGTGTTATTAAAAAGCAAAGCGCTCTTAGTCTCAGACTATCCTCCAAACTTGTCCACTTATCACAGAGTGCAATAACTGCAATAACAAATTGTGCAACAAAGTAATACACACATATACCCATATTCCCAAGAAATGGTCATGCTTTTGTTTTGGAAATTAATATGCTACAAACACTTAATCCATTATATATAGACATTCATTCACCATTGATTGCCATGGGTTAAAATATATAAAAGCAGTGTCAAAGACTTGATACACTTAAGGTATGACTTTCACCTTCACGTAAATATTGAATGACAGCAAACAGGACAACACCATTCTATCATTCTATTGAGACTACCTTCCAAACTTGTCCACAGCCCTGAAGAAACAGGAAAAAAGACCTGTCTTAACTAATGATCTGCTAAGCTTCTACAATCAGTGCAGACTGTCAAATTAGACTACAGAGCAATGGTGTCTGTGTGTAACTTATGGGTCAAGATAGAAGATCCTCAGTCTTCTAACCATCAACATTCTTCTCACAGGTGAGGAAAAGGTCAAAGAGATGAGGAAGACCTACACAACCAGCAATACATCCTACAGCAAACAGGAGCTCCAGGACCTCCTGAAAGCAGCTAAGGAGAATGTCAGGATCAACAGAGATAAGATCACTGCCAAGATGCAAAACGCAGTGGATACCGAAAGGAAAAAGAAACAACCAGTGATTCAGTGATTCACTTGAACCAGTAGTCTAGAAGAGGCTGGGGTGCTGGGGGATGTTCAACATGCTGTATGGTATCATAACATGTCAGTCACTCAATCATTATTTTTTAAAACTGTGATATTTTTTCGAGCAATAAAGACATCACTGCAAAACACAGCAGATAGGAAAATATAATGAATCAACTACTGTACTGAGAATATTCAAAAGATTTTTAAAAGACAAGGAACACAGATACCAGAAAATAACCTTTTTGCACACAAAAAATTATAAAAAAAACAGAAATGGTTTCTGGACCATGTCGTAGAGAAAGAGACACTCAAGCTGGTGCCACACAGAGATGGAATAACTAAGTGTAAGGAGATCCCAATGAAAAGATATGTGGATCCTGTGCAGACACAGGAGTAGGTAATGTCAACGCAAACAATCCAGAATGTCAGGCGAGATTGTGGTCAAAAGGAGAAAGGTGGTTCAAAATCCAGGAAGTACAAATAGAGGCAAACAATCTGAATCGAAAGGCAAGGTCCAAGGTCGAGAGGCAAAAGAGGAGTCCAGTATCCAGGAGAATGCGAAATACAGAATAAACGCCAGGTAGAGCTCTCAAAGAGTAGACTCAATACCGAGCAACAAGAAGCGGGTTTGAATGG